CCTTTTTGAGACAGGATTTCCCTGTAGCCCCAGCTGGCCTGGAACTCACTACGTTATGTAGACCAGGTTGGCCTTGAACTTTAGAGATCTGCCTATCTCTGCCTCCCTCCCGAGTGCTAGGATTAAAGACATGTGCTACCACGCCCAGCTGGGCTATAATTTTTTTTTTTTTAATAAACTACTGTGCAAAAATTTTCAAATCATCAGGAATTTTTTGTTGTGAGGTAGTATCCGACATAAGATTTGCAGTTCTAGGCTGGGCATGGTGGCACATGCCTATAGTCTCAGCACCTGGGAGGCAGAGGTAGGTGGATCTCTGGATCTCTGTAAGTTGAAGGCCAGCATGGTCTACATAGTGAGTTCCAGGCCAGCTGGGGCTACAGGAAGACCCTGTCTCAAAAAGACCAAAAAAAAAAAAAAAAAAAAAAAGATTTGCAGTTCTGCCTTTCCAATTTAATCTCTTTGTACATTTTACTTGAATAAACACTTTTACCCACCAGGATCAGAGATTCTCACAGTGAGTGACTGTAGACCTGCTATGATAGCAACCAGTCAGACTGCTGGAAACCCCAACATATCCTCTAAGACTCTGGGTGTCAGTTCCAGGGGTTAGTGTACAGGAAAGGCAGCAGAGTGGATAATCTGAAGACCAAAAGCACAATCAAGATTGGTAATAACTGACATCTATGACTGCTGCTTACTTTGAAATTACACTCTGAAGAAATGTCTACAATTAGAGTCCCTCATTTCAGATTTTAAAACTCTGATGAATACCTGCAACTATTTTGTACTCTCTTCTCTAGAAGGTCTGAGATAAGGACCCAGGCCCTCCCCTACAGTATATCCTGAATCTTTAAACCAGCATGCAAACCAGGTGGGCCTTCTATACTCACCAACCTCCAACAAGATTTCACCACATTTAATAGCATTTGAAACATAATGTTAAAGCTTGTCTTTAATTCTCCTTTTTCATCCATCTTACAAACAAAATGTCAGAGTCAACTAAGTAAACCCAGTGATGGGAGGTGGGTGAGAGTCAAAGGCCAACAGGAGCTGGATGCTTTCAGGTCTCCTTTCCCACCCTGGCAGAAAGAAACTGGAAACACCAACAAGATAAAAACTGAAAACATTCATTTTTCTTTTTATTAAGAAAGCATGCAAAAAAAACCCAACAAGTTGTGAGCCCATACACCCCTTCCCAGCCTGCACCAATGCAAAGCATCATGGGTAGTAGGAAGGACTCATCAAACCAGAAACACAGGGGTTGAGGAGAGAAGCGTAGGATAGGTGGATCAATAGCAAGTAATTTCTTTTGCTCCTCTCCTCTGCCTTCTCCCTTCTCCCCCTTTATAGGCAGTGACTCCTACAATTTTGCACACATCACCCAAGACGACAACAATGACTATACTTCATGTCCAAACAAAATAAAATAGTATTCTTTCCATTTCATGGAGGGGATGGGAAACTGAGCCCCAAAGGGAATCAGGTCTGTCCTGTGCCATTCAGCAATGCTAAGCTTGGTGGAGGAGAGTTGCAATCTCAGGAGGCCTAATAGCTGATCTCTAGTCCAAGCCCCACATTTTAGTTGCTCTGGCTGCCCACCAGGGTTCTTTGTTGAGACTAGTTTTCAACAGACATGGATGAACAAGGGGCATTTGCATGTACGATTTAACCTATCTTTCCTAACCCCACATGGATCCGAGTAGGAAGAGTGTTTAGTAAAAAGGAGTGTTAATCTGCAAAGGTAAGATGTTGGGGAAAACCAGAGGGAAGTTGTGTGTAGGGTCCACCTGAACAGAAGGAATAAGGATGGGATGTCTAACGGGGACACTGGGCAAAGGCATGTGCCACCCTTTACAGAAACGCTCCTTTCCCCAATGGGAAATATTGCATGATACTTCAACCCCACTGAGTGCTCTCCAGTACATGTGTGTTGGAGGGCACATTTATCTTATATCCCCATTTTTTTCTTACAAAGGCTTCAAAGAAATAAAGTGCTCTTTAGTTAACTGCCCTGTCTTGCCCCTTTACTTAGCTTCACTGGACTTGAACAAACTCATACATAACCCCCTTCCAAAGAAAGGAAAGGGGTGGATGAGGGGGGAGACCAAGAGAACAGGAAGTCCAATATCTTGGAAATTATGGATAAATAAAGAATATGAACAAAAATCAGAAATCACAAAGAGAACGGTCTTTAAACTATACATTCTGTCCTAGAGCTTTCAGAAAATTGGGAGAAATAAAATGGAAGTAGCTTGGTCTTCCTTCTCTTGAGTCAAATTCAACAATTAACATTAAATACAAACAAGAACTCTTGCAGCAATATAGCATGGCCACTCCTTGTTAACGGAGACTACTTATCCCTGTACCTAGGAGCTCCCCTTGGCCTCTATATTATTTGTTTCCCTCTTCCAATTTTCTTTGCCTGTCAAAAGCCCAATTGCAAAAGCTTCAATCCCACCGACACGAATTTCAAGAGAAGTATCAGCCTATGTAGTTAAATAGATGAAATATTATCTCTCCATGTCCACCCCAATTTCCCCCTCTTTCCCCACTGCTACCATCAGTACTACAGGTATGATTCTGCTATGAGCTGTGGGAAAGAGGTTTCCATGGCATGTCTAGGACACAGAGAAACTCACGGTGAGAATGGCTTCCTTTTCCTTTTTTTGAGACTCTCAGGAAATGGAGGGAGGAAATAAGGTAGGTAGACAATTTGGACAAACAGCTGGAGGAGGACAAAGCCATATTTGCTGAAGGAAGAAAGGCGATGGAAGATGAGTTATCAATGCAGTTAGATGCTGTTAATTCTCAGAATGAATTATTTTTTCAAAAGCCAAAATGTTTTAAACTGAAACTGTCTCCAAGAAACTGAACCTATGCAGAATAGCGGCCATACAAGCCAACGTCCTTAGAGAATCGGCTAGGAAGAGGATGCTTTGATTCACGCTGATTTCCACCCCACTGCTTCTCCACAGCACTCTACACTCTCGGGCCTTTATGTCTGCCCCTCATGGGGAATGAGGATGTCAGAAATAAGGTTGAAGGTATAAGGAAGAATTTGGAGGACACAATTAGCACCACTGAGTGAAACTTGCAAATTCATGGCTGCCAAGCAGTGTTTTAGACTCCTCTACTTAATGTGACCGCTCTAGGCCAGCCTTAAACAGATGGGAACAGAAACCAATTTAGAGCTTGAAAGGTGGGGTCAGCAATCATTTTCTGAGAGAGAAAGGTAAACTAGAATTTGAAACCTTTCTCTACAGCCAACATGGCCTCATTTTCCAGCCTGAAGATTTAAAGTGAGCAGGGGAGGACACAGTCTATGGTGCGGGGCTGTAGACTGGGCAGTATATAACCAATAATAATAATAATATAATTTGAATAATAACAAAAGAACTAGGGGGGAAATGGAGGAAGAAGAATGAGGAAGGAAAAGGGATGATCTTCGGCAGCATCTTTTGGTGGCTTTTCTGATAGAGAACAAAAAGAAGATATATATCTATATACAGGCGTGGGGAGGACGTGCTGTGGTTGCCCTTTCCCTGTGGCCAGACTTCACCACCAGGCCCTGGGCTGACGTCCACTCTGATGCATTAAGTAATCAAGTCCCAGTCGAAGTCATCAGGAATCTCCTCGTTGGCACCGGGAGGTGGGACAGGTGGCCGAGGAACCATGTGGTGGGCTGTCAGGAAGAAAGGGAAAAGAGGTTGGATGAGAAGCCAGACTATCAGTCTAGACGGAGAGGGCTCTGCCCCAGGAACACCATGAAGGAAGCCCAGGAAGGCACTGTTCTGGTCAGCCTGTTGTCTTTCTGTGGCAGACTACCAACTGGTGACATCTCAGAAAATACCCTAGAGTAAATTAGGTTACATGACACTATAGTATTATCCTGCCACTAAATATTGTGTTTATAAAGACCATGTGTCAATGATAAAATAACAAAAAATAGTATTATATGAAACAGTGGTATAAGAAGTTGTATTTACATGACATGGACAAAGAAAGATGTACCTGAAAACCTGAGATCCCTTGTGATTAGATAGGGTGACAATATGGTTTGTCTAGAACATATTTAAACATGAAGGATCTGTTCATTTTCTACTGTCTGTACCAGTTTAGTGTCTCCCCCTAATCTGCCACCCCCACTCTCAAAGATCCTCCTGCTGGGGATATCCTTGCCTAGCACACAAGTTGAATCCTAAGACTGCAAAAAAACAAATACTAAAGGATGATAGTTTGATCCCAAATACCTGATACTGGTAGTCAGGTGACAGGAAAGTGGACATGTTTGTTTATATAAAACACGTATTTCATTTGTCCCTCATATCTTTTGCTTGTATTTATAATTTTATTTCCTTTTGGCTCTGCAGTTACATTTTTCAATTAATTAATTAATTTATTTTTATAGGTATGAGTGTTATGCCTGCATATATGCAAGTGCCTGCAGAGGCCAGAAGAGGGAGTCAGATCCCCTAGAACCGGAGTTAAGGATGATTGTTAGCTGCCATGGATTTGGGATTTGAAACCCGGTCCTTTGCAAGTGCAACCAGTGCTCTTAACCACTGAGCCATCTCTCCAGCCCCTACAGTTATGATTTTAAAGGAAATCTCAGGCTAGCGGTGTAGCTCAGAGGTAAAGCACTTGTCTAGTATGCATGAGGCCCTGGCTCCACTCCTAGCACCACAGAGTAAAGTTAATTTAATTAAATAAAACTGCCTTTCTTAGTCTCCAACAGGTGGTACATTCGCTCTTCCCCCCTTGGGAATCATGACCCCTGACCCTGTCTAGCAGGTGCAGGCAGAAGGGCAAAGAGAGCAGGTCAGAGGAAAGAAAACACCAGCTGAGAGACAGGCCCAGGCCTGTTAGTGAAACACTCTTACCTGGGCGATTGTATCCTGCTGAGTCCTGGGTGGTGATTGGATACATTGGTGCTGGGCCAGGGTAGAGGTGGGGGGCTTGTGGGTGCCCATAAGAGTTCACTACCAAAGCAAAACAACAGTTACTTGATTGGAGGAATGTTCTCAACAAAACAGGAAGAAAAAACTGCATATCCTTGTAACCCAGTCTCCTTCTCTCTTCCTGCCCTGTTCTATACTCCTGCATGCAAGAAGAATTCTGCAAAAGCTACAAGTCCTTGGCTCTTAGAGTAAGAAGCAATGGATCCTAGAATTGTTAAGTATCAAAAACATGCAAATAGCCAGAAACATCATCATCATCAGACCTCTGCTTTCACTGCTTTGATCCACATGTATGATTCAGGTGACAATCATTACCAGAAAAATTTGGAATGGAGATATTTTGGCTAACAAATTTCCTCTCTCTCTCTCTCTCTCTCCCTCCCTCCCTCCCTCCCTCCCTCGCTCTCTCTCTCTCTTTTTTTTTTTTTTGGTTTTTTGGGGACAGGGTCTCCCAGGCTGGCCTTGAACTCACAGATCCGCCTGCCTCTGCCTTACAAGCACTAGGATTAAAGGCATGTGCCTGAAGCAGTAATTTTCTTTTTTTTTTTTTTGGTCTTTTTGAGACAAGATCTCCCTGTAACCTCAGCTGGCTTGGAACTCACTATGTAGACGAGGCTGGCCTTGAACTCACAGAGATCCACCTGCCTCTGCTTCCCGAGTGCCTCTACTTCCCTGCTGGGATTAAATGTGTGCGCCGCCATGCCCAACCCTTCTTCTCTTTTTAAAAAGTAATTTTGGGGGCTGGAGAGATGGCTGAGCGGTTAAGAGCACTGATTGCTCTTGCAGAGGACCCGGATTTGATTCCCAGCACCCATATGCTGGTTACAAACCATCCTTAACTCCAGTTCCAGGGGAATCCAAAGCCCTCTTCTGACTTCCGCGGCACTGTATGCCACAGGTGCACTCACATACATGCAGGCAATACACTCATGCACATAAAATAAAAATAATAAATAAAATATTTTTTTAAAAAGTAGCCGGTGTGGTGGCGCACACCTGTAGTTCCAGCACTTGGGAGGCAGAGGCAGGCGGCTCTCTGTGAGTTCAAGGCCAGCTGGGGCTACAAGGAGACCCTGTCTCAAAAACAAAAAAAAAAAAGAAAGAAAAAAAGTAATTTTGATCTTCCAAACCAAGTAGGTATGAAAAGGAATCATATGGTCTGAGGCCACTGCATCTTCTGGGACACAGTGATCCAACAGATGTTCAGTCAACAAACTACTCCCACAACTCAGTTTGGATCACAGTCTGTGAAGTCTCAACCTTCACTCTTCATTCCCATTACAATCTCCACTTCTTCGCCAACTTTGTGCAGTACCTTGGTTCATGGACGGCTCCGGTTTGCCACTGGTAAGGGCACAAGAATCAGTGATACGGGCAGGGGCGGGTGGCCGGTGGGAGGCCCCTTGGGGGGGCATGTGACCAGTCTGAGTGAGGAAATGGTTGAGGGAATCACACAGGTTGGCGATGTGATGCTGGTCGAGGGTCCAGTTCTTCTGCTCTGCCTGCCGTAGACTCTCCATCAGTTCTACAAACAAGAGTGCAAGTGATACCAACCTTGCAGACCTGCCAAAGCCACCCTACCCGACCCTAGTGCTGTGTTGCACTCACTGTTCCACTCACATCTTGTTGCCACAGAAACCGTGCACTAACAATAATAAATTACATCTCTTTTTTGCTTACAGAAGTATTTCTTTAAATGTTATAAAACAAGTATCATTAAATGTGCCAGGTTTAATTAGAAGTTTTTCTCTAGGACTGACTATATTAACTTAGT